TTTGTGATTGACTGGGTGGAAAACATGGAGCAAAACCCTAAATGATTCTTTTTTCAAACAAGCTGAGCGGTCTGTGATAGGCAGATTTATTGTACCAGCTGGCCAATAGGAACATGTGGGATTAGTCAGGTCACAGTTTGATTGGAGGGCAGAGACATAGATGGCTCAGCAAGGCCCGCCCCTCTCTCTCTTGCTCTCTGGTGATCAGACCAGTGTGCGGCTGCTTGAACTGATTCTCTGCCTCAACTTGTGAGCTACACTTCCTGTGAGACAGCCAACGCGTGGATCCTGTCGCTAGAGCTTGAGGTTCCTTCCAGACCTGCTTCTCCACATGCTGGTGTGCACATCGCTTGAACTTGAGGCTGGGGATCCTGTCACTGCATTGCTTGAGGTTGATATCCCATCTGGGCCTGCTTTGCTAAGCTCCTGAGCTGCTATTAGTGACCTGCCCTGCTGTTTGCTGCCTGTGGCCAGACTGCCTGCATTGCCCGAGGGAAGACTCAGGAAGTCTTCCTTGACCTTGGACCCAGAAGCCCTCCTGAGTTGAAGGACTTCCAGTATATTAACTATTTCACAGAAATGTATTGAACTGAGCCCTCTGTACTACTGTGTGGACTAATTTGCTGTTATATTCCTTCGTGCTGTATAAATCTATCCTGTTATATCTATCTATCTATCTATCAAATCATAAGTGCCCTGGTTTTGTTTCTCTAGAGAACCCTGCCTAACAAACTGCCTCATAGACTGGCAGGACTCCCAAACGGGGACCCTCTGTCACCTTTCAGCTTTTTAAGTCACCTTGTGGCTCAACTTTCAGCCTCACAAGAAACCGGCCTAGGGGGGTAAGCAGTCACCCCAGACAGATCCACACTCTGAGAACAATCAGCTGCCCTGACCAGAGGGCAGCGTGGCCCAGGGAGCAAGCTCAGAGGACAGGAAGGGATGGGAAAGGAGGGTGGAGGCAGACGGGAGCCGCAGAGCAGAGTGGGAAGAGGGCTGTCACTTGGTGCGGGTGGCATTCAGCGTCAGGGGACAAACGTGTGCACCGTGGAACGGAAAACCAGATTAGAATAAAAAAGTTAAACAGGAGAGAGAGAGAGAACAAATGCTCTTCGGTGTGATGTGCAGAAGTTGTTTGGATTCTGCTTGGAACAAAACATCTGTGAAAAGGCAGTTTCGAGGGAGACCTCCGGGAACAGAATGCAGACAGCCGTGAGAGGATGTTGAAGGACCGCGTTTGTGGGGCCCAAGAGTGAATGCCACTTCACCGCCCCCCAGTGATGATGGCTTCCCTTCTGGAGACAGTCTTTGTTCCTTAGCAAGTCAGCATGTTGTGAGGCGTGTAGGTGTGGGGGGGGACCTGCTTTCAATCCCTGAGCGAAAACAAGCCAAGAGGGAAGACGTGAAACAAGACGAGTGAGCACGTGCGAGCTGCTGACTCGGTGTGTGTGTGTGTGGGGGGGGGCCGGGACACGTGGCCCCACCGGGCTGTGCTTTCAACATCCCTGCCAGTCCCCGGTCTTGCTCTGTCCCAGGCTGGCTGGGGTCTAGTGCTGGCTTTCCTCTGCTCCCCTGAATTACAGGGCACCACTTCAGGTTGGGGGCCACGTCTCCCTGCCCTACACCTCTCTCCAAGTGGACTGTCCCTCACTTGCTGGTCACCTGGACAGCCACATCAGTCCTTCTGCTACGGGGTGCCCGAGGCACCCTGCACCCCCTGACAATCACAGGGGACCACTTCCTGTGCTGCTGGCCGCCATGAGCACAGTGTTTGGGGCTTCATTTCCAAACAGAGCTGCAGGTGGTCAGAGGTTGGGAATCCAGGACAAGGGGTGGGCGGAGGGAGCCGGCTCCTTCTGGAGTCTTCTAGAAGTGGGCCTTGGTTCGCAGCCCTGCCCGCCTCCATCTGCAAACCCAGCAGTGCAGCGGCTCCTCCTCTTGCCCTCTCTGAGTTCATTGCCTTCGCTTGCCTCCCTCTTACCCATGGTGCTGTGTTTTGTCCTGGGCGACGTCCCCACGTGAAGGCCCTGTCTGTACTCAATTACGTCTCCACAGCCCTTCACGCCATGTGGCACGCCAGGGTCAGCCCCAAAGGACTGCTGCAAAGCCAAAGGGGCCTTGATTTATCAACCACAGCAGCAAAATCAAATGCAATGAGGTCGTGCCTGGACTGCGCTCCTGCCCTTTCCTGAAGGAGTCCCCGCTCCTCGGTGCACATCTACCCAGTCCTGTGGCCCATCCTCAGGGGGACAAAGATGGGGTTTCTTTTCAAGGCTCTTGGAGTTTGACAGGGAAGCAGCGAGGGAGACATCTAAAGGGGCACAATCCGGACCGTGGGCGGGATGGGTACGGTTTCCCAGTGGAATGCCCCTAGGACTGCCCTGCGACCCTCGCAGAATGAGCAGGTGTCTTCTCCTGCTGGAACGAATTCCTTGGCATGACTTTCCTGGCC